TATATATATATATATATATAATATATTAATAATTATAGTCTATGTTTAGCTCATAAATGTATAAAATACAAAAATTAAAAAATGTATCGATGGTTTAAAACGTGTAAAAAATAATTTTAACAAACGTGTATAAAAAATAATTTTAAAAACTATTTTTTTATCTGTCCTCTAATAAAGATGTATGGAAATATATATATTATAAGATAATTGCAAAAATCTTAACTTGTTTACATAAGTTCTTTAAATATTCGAGATGTGATTATGTAAAGTTTTATTGATGCAATAGTTATAGAAGGAAAGTAATATTATATTTTTAGCTGCAATGTGCATATATATATATTCTATTTTTTTTTAATTGACATTTATATCACTCGATATAGCAACGTTTCAGATGTAGAAATTGCATGTTATATTGTTCTGTAAATAAATAATATATTTCAGATTAAAACTCTTGACATTGTTTAAATTTTTGTATATAAAAATTTATAATTACAAGCATACATATAATTGACCAGCTTGGCTCATCAACTCTTCTTTTAATTTATGTTATTGTTAACAAAATATATTATTTCCTTGTTTTATTAAAGACCTAATTTTATATGCGGAAAATTACGTCCGCGTCGTGATAATGACGTCACGCAGGGCAATGGCTGCCAAGCGCGATCCGCCGCCAGGCGCGTTGTACTTACCATGTATACTTACCGTCTCTTCTCTTCTTATGCGTAATTTTCCCTTCAGCGTCTAGTCATCCGATTATTCATAAAATATTTTTTTATTCTAAATTATAACTATTATTATATTATTATTTTAGAGAGCTCGATGGTACGGTTGATAATGCGCGCGTAGCGCGATACCGATAAAAGATAAGATGGAATGAAAAATGGAAAGAAGGAAGGAATAATTGCAGATACAGAGATATTTTTATTTTATATATTTATTTTTCATGTAATGCATTATATACAATATTATCTACAGCATATATTATCAATTCGCATTCAATATATGAATTTTTATCGTATATTCTATGCAAAGTATCTATAGCATCGCTTTTGTTATTTATACAGTTTTGACGTAAATGAATCACAAAATGTTTAAATTTATCGCTTGTAATATTAATATATTGACACAAATCGAAATATATGTGTTCGACACATTGTACGAGTTCAAACATAAAAAGTATAGTCGACAGTTTCATACATAAACTCTTTTCACATAAAGATAATTTCACATTGTCAACATCACGTATTATAACAAGTTCAATATCATTTAATAAGGTTCAGTATCATTTCAATGGCGTAGATAACTGCACCAATCGCTGAATATCTACTCGTTTTTTGATGAACGTCATCCATGTAGCATGCGGCAGGATGCGGTTGCCTCGGGTCTTGTCAATCGTAATTTTTATATGAGGGATTGGCGCTATGACGATTCCAATCTTCAAAAATTTGTAAGTCGTCAGTGTCAACGCTAATAATCTTGTCAAAATGGTATGAGAAGACGCGCTGTAATGAGGAAAAACAAACAAATAAGCAATATATAGAAAAAAAAATCTTCAATAAATTATAATTGAAATACTTACTATTGAAGAAGACAGATATTTTCATCCCATTTTATTTCAGATATGTAGACGATATTGTTATGGCTGTACCATCTAACGAAATTGAAAAAAATATAAATTTTAATTCTTGGCATCCGAGATTACAGTTCACGATAGAGGTAGGTGGGAACAGAATTGATTTTTTAGATTTGACAATCATTGTTAATGAGAAAAGAAGTTTAGAATTCGACTGGTTTCATAAGCCTACTTTTTCCGAACGATATTTGAATTATCTTTCAACACATCCAAATTCTCCGAAGAAAGGCATAATAACAGAAATGGTTAACAGAGCAATTTTATTTTCAAGTCCGAAATTTCATTACAAGAACATGAAGTTTATAGTCAATACTTTGTTAAATAATGACTATTCGATAGATTTTATTTTTAACACCATCAATTCGCAGCTGAAAATATTGTTTCATAAACTACAGACGAAAGAAAATGACGTTGTTAGCGATGCTGATGAAGAGCATCGACCATGGTTCATTCTTCCTTATGTTGTCCACGGAGATCTGAGAAGTTTTTTACGATTATCAAGAATATTAACGCGTGAAACTATCCTTTTTTGAATAAGCTTAATAAATTCATCAAAGTATAGAAGGACACTCTCCCAAAATTCTCCAATAAAAATGTTGTGTATAAAATCCTTGTAAAGATTGCGATGCGTCGTATGTTGGTCGATCAGGTCGAAAATTATCCACGAGAGTATCTGAGCATCGCAACCATATCAATAGCATTAACAAGGACCAATCAGTGATCACGGACCACCGACTTGGTTTTAATCATGAATTTGATTGGGAGAGTGTCCAAATTCTTGATAAGGAAAGATTTCTCAATAAACGCTTAAACTTAGAAATGTTACATATATACAATACATGCAGAAGAATGAACTCAATTTAAAAACAAACACAGAATGTTTGCATTACTCGTATGCTTCCTTATTAGACACATTAAAACAATATTGAGGTTTAAAAACGGTTATAGGTTGACTTTCTTATTATTTATTGTCATTGTTTGTTTGTAAGTCCTCTTATCACTTTGTAACGTTTCAATTTAAAACGACACGTCACGATGAACTGACACAATATTAATCGAAGAACGATTTTTGTTAATTTATATCGCATAAAAATTGTGAATCAATGTTTGCGTAACTTCGATGTTTTCCTGTTGAGATGAGTCACACGATTATTACTGTTTTTAAGTTATTGAACTAACAGTAAAATTGTAATAATTTATATAGTGTATGGACTACTGTATTTCTGCCAATCTGCGAGTGACTTACTCTCAACGTAGTTTTACAGTCTATTTTTCGCTGAAGATGACTCCAAAGTGAACCGAAACGTTTGATATAATAAATGAAGACTACCGTCAACATCTGAGTATTATCTACATCTCTTAACTCTTCGCTCGTACATCAGCGTTAGGCTCTCATTAGCCTTGTTCGAAATTTCTAGTTAATAATAATAATAATAATAATAATATTAATAATAACAACAATAACATTATTATTATTATTATTATTATTAATAAATGTGCGATTTTTTCAGATGCCTCCACTACTTCAACTCAAGCGCTAAATTGGAGATTCACAGCGACGACTACGGAAAACTGAATGATCTCTGCGCAATCAAACTACCGAGTGAGGAAAATCGTACTGTACGATAAATGGCTGAGTTTCGACAACCACTGCAAGAAGGAACACGTCCCATTCGTTGTCTACGCCTGGAGTGTGCATTGGAAAAAACGGATGGAAATCCTGAATCGGCTACATACACGTATCATCATCATAACGTATTTAGTATCGGATACTATGTGCACTGTGCGCACGACAGCTCACTGTCGGGCTATCGTTTTCGCCGTGATAAGGACTGTATAGCGTGGTTCACGGAAGAATTCAGAAATTTGGCGCACAGTGTACAGTCTATAATTTCGGCTAATGTACCCATAACGGATTTCATGCGAGACGATTGGCAAAAATTTAACAGCGCCACTCACGCCACGTGTGCGAGAAACTGTTTACACCAGACGGGTATGTGATCACTGCCATTTAACCGGGCGATACAGAAGTTCCACAAACTCAAATTGCAATCTAAATTATAGGGATTCGCGTTGCATACCCATAGTTTTCCATAACTTATCCGGCAACGACGCTCATTTCGTCAAGGAAATTGCCACCGCGTACAAAGAACGCGTTGATCTTTTACCGATAACTAAAGAAAAATATATTTCGTTTACTAAACATATTGGTAGTAAACAAACAAAATTGATAAAAAAAATTGTGTAAAATTATGGTTTATAGATTCATACAGATTTTTCACTTCTAATTTGGACAAATTGACATCTTAAACGCAAGTAAATTAACATACCGGAATTCTAATAAGAAATAAAAACTCACCAAAAATTATGTGTAAATTATTCAAACAAGTGTGTCCATATATGTATTTAAAAAAACCATTAGAATATATAAAGACAAGTGGAACGCAGATGTGTAAGACGGACATTGTATATCGATTATTATGTACGCTCGCTGATACGGATCATCACGAACTGAGAGAAGAGACGAACTGTCAGTATCGAAAAGTTAAAATTAAAAATGGAATCTGACACATGTACATTTGTATCGGCGCATCCTAACATTATTTTCACGCACAATAACAAAGGTAACGTCACGGTTGCTATGGACAAAAATACATACATGAATAAAATAACCACATTATTAGATGACTCAAACATGTTCCTATTAAGAAAGATCCTACCAAGAAACTCACGACAGCTTTAAGGTCTATACTCACTAGATGAAAAACGAAAGATTATATCAAGGACTCTAAGTATAAAGCGTTATATTGCAGTGACGGATTACTTCCGAGAGTCTATGGATTGCCGAAAATTCACAAACCTGGTTGTCCTCTCAGAATTATTGTCTTATCGATAGGCAGTCCGCTATATGCATTGGCTACATATTTGCACGATATACTATTCAAGACTATTCCTAAAGCAGATAGTTACATTAAAAATAGCTTTCAATTAGTTAAAAAATTAAAAAGATTATATATTACAGGTGAACATAAATTAATTTCATTGGACGTTATATCAATTTTTACGAATGTTCCAATAGAGGTAGCGGTTGATTGTATAAATGAGCAATGGAGTTTTATTTCCAAGGATTGCTCTCTGCCTAAAAATGAATTTCTGGGAGCGATACGATTCGTTTTAGATTCCTTTTTTTCATTTAATAATAAAATTTATAAACAAAGCTTCGGCACTCCCATGGATTTTCCTTTATCACCTGTAAGCGGACCTAGTAATGAGGAGATTAAAGATACGGTGTCCTTGATGTCGTTGAATTTGGATATTTTATTTTATTATAGATACGTAGATGACATTTTGTATCGCAGTTTCTCCCTCAAATATTGATATTTTACTATAACAATTTAATTCATTTCATCCGCGTCTTCAATTCTCTACAGAAATAGGGGGAGATAAAATAAATTTTCTGAATATCACTACTTTTATTAACAGAAATCGTTTTATTTTTTATTGGTATCATAAACCTACCTTTTCAGGTTTTTAAATTTCAACTCAAATCATTCTATTGCACAAAAGAAAGGTACAATGTTTTCGCTAGTTGACAGAGTTTTTTTACTTTCTGACTTTATGTTTCATATAAAAAATTTGACATTTATTATTAATATTGTATTTTACTAAATAATGACTACCCATTGACTTTTATTTTTGACACAGTTAATCAACGCATAATTTAATTAAAAATAGACACATAGCACATAAAGATTTAGTTTACAATGTCGGTGCGAATGAATCTGCATCTTGGCTTATGATACCATTTATTCCTCTTCACACAAAAAAATTTAAACGATTCAATAAAAATGACATCAGGATATCTTTTCATAGTCCTAATAAAATGGGTAAATATATTAAAGTACGAAAGGATATTTGTCCCCATACATCTAAGAGTAATGTAGTCTATAAGATATCGTGTAATAATTGTGATGCGTCGTACATTGGATAGACAATTGAAAACCAGAATTACAGAACATCGTAATCATATTAGACATAACACTTCTGTCCGTTCTGTCATAACTGAGCACAGGCTGCAGTATGATCATGATTTCCAATGGGATAATGTCAACATTTTACACGAAGAGTCTTGTTATAGGAAACGCTTAATTTCCAAGATGCTCAAAATTAAGAAGCAGAAAAATAGTTTGAATTTACAAACTGACACTGAAGGTCTTCATAAGGCATATACCTATTGTAAATAAGGTTTAACTTTTCGATACTGACAGTCCGTCTCTTCTCTCAGTCCGTGGTGATCCGCATCAGCGAGCGTACATAATAATCGATATACAATTCGTCTTACACACCTGCGCTCTACTTATCTTTATATATTTTAATGGTTTTTTTTATACTTATATGGACATACTTATTTGAATAATTTACATATGATTTTTGGTGAGTTTTTACTTCTTATTAGAATTCCGATATGTTAATTTACTTGCGTTTATTTTTTAAAAAGTCTTTTTATCTTTTTTATCAACTAGAACTTTTCCAAGAGATATGAAACACATTTGATTGTTCAATCGTATGTGAATAATATCAAGTTCACATCAAGACTCACCCGAACTGTGAATATAATGAATATGCGAATAATTGCGATAATTAATTTTGTACTGCGGTTTTTTTTCGATAAGTTAATGTCTGAAGAGAGCTCAATCCGGTAGCCGAAACTTGTAATTTGTATTTAAACTGAGTTTTCATTATTTTTTATTTTTTATTATGTATTTTCTTTAATTTTACTTTTCTCTATTTGTAATTTTTTCTTTTAATTGTGTGACTTTTTTAAAAAAATGTGTTGACTCTTACTTTGTCCTGTATTTATTTTGTATAGGAAGAGTCCTTCAATCTGTTTAATATGTATACCGATACTAACCTTATATACAATATAGAATGTGATGATGTTTATATCATAAAATGCGATATATAAGTACAATATTATTATTTTAGAGAGCTCGATGGTACGGTTGATAATGCGCGCGTAACGCGATACTGATAAAAGATAAGGTGGAATGAAAAATGGAAAGAAGGAAGGAATAATTGCAGACACAGAGATATTTTTATTTTATATATTTATTTTTCATGTAATGCATTATATACAATATTATCTATTTGACACGAGCGATTACTCGAGCGACAACGCGTACGGCATTCCGCTCGCAAATAAAAAAGTTCATGACTTTATGAAAGACGAAAACAACGGCATAATCATGCATAAGATCCAAATTGCACGAAGTGCACATGATATCAGAAACAAAAATCGCTCTAAGTGCGACAATCTTTACGCGATTGTAAACCGTGATTAAGAGTC